TGGTAACCTTGTTTTATATAATTATATTCATTCTAACAGGGAAATCGGTAGCTGAAATTTAAATTACATATTTTCGTAGGTACGTTCATTGGCGATTTTAATCTTGTATGTACCTAGGGTGATGATATTTCTTTCTGCAACACTTTTTATGTTTGAATAGGTTTAAAATAAAATAAAATCATTCACAAAAAGACCCTCTTCTATTAGGTGCTCTTACTTGAAATAAATGTAATTTGTATTTGTAATATTGATATTAATATTTATGCGATTACCATTTCCTGTGTTTTTTTAATCTTAGCATAATTTTAATCGGATTGCTTTATTTATAAAAAAGCCTAAAATCAATAAAATCATATTTAAGACTGCATAATTTTTGAAGTCGGTTGAAAATATTTTATGATATTTTTATTGTTATACTTAGTAAATCTTTTATTACAAGGCCTCAAATTTTTTCTTCCATCTATCGCATGTTTCATTACACGCAGTCAAGAAGCAGGGGTGAAATTAAAAGGTACATGGCTGTAATGGTTGACCATTTGATAAACTTGAAATCAGCCCATGTTACAAATGTTATAGTAAATTTTTAGCACGGCTAACGATTTCTAAAAATAGCCCTAAGTGATGCTACAAATATAAATGAAATTGTGAGTTTTATACTTAAATTAAAACTCATGATACCAAACAGTTTCATATAAACATTTAAAAGAAACTAAGTTTTTCGGATAGTACGCGTTTTATAGCATTTTATTTCTTCATATTCATGAGCGCGGTTGCTGAAAAGTTATCGAAAACGCGGAAACATTAATATGTTTCGGCGTTTTCGATAACTTTTTAATATAATTATGAAAAAGTAAATTAATAGAAAAACATATAGTATCCATAAAATTTAGTTACTTTCAAATTAAGAATTTAATATCTTTATATAATCATGTAAAGTATATGACATGTTAGGTTTTCTGGTCTACCTATTCATTTAAATGAAACTAAGATTTGTAGACTACGGTATTCACCCTCCATTTCCTTACAGAAACCCTGATCACGGGCAGATGAGATGAAAATGTCAGACAGTAGGTACCTACTTATTATGTAGTTAAGATCTTTTAGTTTCATTCAAATGAATATTTAAATGCATACACAAAAAAATCAGTAAATAAGAACATAATTCTGTAATAAATAAACAATCTCTTTATTCAGCTCAAGATATTTTTGCTAATATAATGTCCAACTGAGATGAAATCAAAAAAGAGAGTTATATATTTCACCATTATACTATGGATTCACTAGTACTATGGATTTGTGAGTGTTGTAGTGTTCGTGGATTCGTTCGTCGTTCGAGGACATACATATGTATGAAAAATAAACGCCCGGTTTTTGGGACATCACATTTGTTAAGATAATTATGATTCTAATTATAATCATATTTAATTTTGTTCCTATCATTTTTATTTAGAACGAATACAAATTATTAAATCTGATTGTACGTGTTTATTTTAGTAAATATTATATATAAAAAATGCTCTTTTTTTAAATTGACGTCAGTTTTGTATTGTTATTATATTTTATATAAAATAATTATAGTTTATAAATATTAATGAAAATTAATTAATTCAGTTGTGTTAAATGTAAAGTTTCGTTTCATATTCGAAATATGAAGGAGCCTACATCGTATCACTCTCTGAAATAAATGAACCAAGTTGTTATTTTGTCAACCTCCATCTCATGTTCATTCTTTCATTCTTACCAAAAGTCTTTGAGTGGACTGTTCATACCTAATTATATCTATCGGTTTAATTACTATTATTTGAATAATCAATAATTGAAGATAGTTAAATTATCAGGTATCATCTGCATAACCATCTGCGTAGCTACCAAGTGTAGTCACGACAATGAGTGTCGATTGGTATGTATAAGAGTACAGAGAGTCTCGCTCGAGTCGATGCAGGGATCGGACTTCTTCCAACGAAGGTGGTTGTCAAATCGTCTCCGAGTTTACCTTCGAGAGTCTTAGATCCTGACGACACTCTATTCTTGACACTCTCATTGATGCTGACACGTCAGTTATGCGAACTTCACCCTTTTTAAAAAAGTACAAAGTGCTGCTATATAGGTGGCTATATAGGTGGCCCAATAGGTGGCCTGCACTTCACAAATACAACAAAACAACTGAACCTACTTTTTTATATGCTTACATACCTACTTTAACCGAAACATCTCTCAATACGAATGTTGACAAAAAAAAATTAGCATTTAGCATTAGCAATCACAAACAATTTCGAATAGAAAAACTGTTTGTAAATAGAACTATATTCTGCTTAATTGCCATATAAAAACGTCACGTCAAACGTTGAGTTATCCTTATATAAAAAAATAATTTATGTGTGTGAAAATTTACGCATTGGAGGGCTGAAATACATTGTTTCTCGAAAATCAATTTTTGAAATATATACTTTAAATTAATTGAATGTAAATTGTCATTATATAATGAGATCTAAGATTGTCGCGAGTATTCATTTAAATAAAAGTAATGTTTTCGGATTTACTATGCGATTAGTTAACAGCAACCAAAACGTCGGGAGTATGTAGTCTATATATATAAAAATGGATTGCTGTTCCTTAGTCTCACTAAAACTCGAGAACGGCTGAACGGATTTATCTTATCTTAGTCTTGAAATGTTCGTGGAGGTTCAGGGAAGGTATAAAAGCTGAAAAAAATTAATTCATTACTGGGAATACCATAAAAACAGCCCTTTTCTATTTCCCATACAAACTTTTTTTTGACATGAGATTTGACAACTGACTAATGTGTCAATCATTCTGTCGCACTTCAAAACACGGAGATTTATGGCTTACAGGTAAACTCCAAAAAAATAAATAAGACATAATTTATTTCTTGATTGAGGCAGTACGAAGTCTGCCGGGTCAGCTAGTTTATAATAAAAAATAAAAAATCCCGTAGTAAATCCGAAAATATTAGTTTCATTGTTATTATGTAATTAGTTTGAATATTATCGAATTGACAAATTATAGCTATGAGTACTGATTTTGATAGTAGATATATGTGTTTCAATAAATTAAATACTCTAACCCAAGTCTACGGGCGAGGTTTACTGTTTAATGAATAACATATCTTCAGGTTGAATCATGTCAATGTTGGTGTACCTACTACAAGGTAACGTGTTGTTCTGCCCCTTAAAATGAAACCCAAGAAAACAAAAGTAATTCTATTTGTTAGACCATTATCTACTCATTTCAGGTTTATCTGAAATCCTAAAACTTGCAGTCATTGTGGAAGGTACACTTGTAAAAAACTAAATAACGTTTTCGATTATTTTTGATAAAAGTTTATCCTGGGTTCGGCTTATAACTAACAATGAGCAGGACAATAAATATATCTGGTGACTCTTTACGTAAATTTCTCCCAATTACTACCAAAGTTGTCTTAGCTCATCTCTCCTTTTTCCTATTTTTAGCGACACAAACACTTGCCATTTAAAACTTAAAGAGGAATAATTAGAAAAACTTTTGCGTTAGATTTAGCAGGCAACTAAAATAGTATTTATAGTGCCATCTGTAAAAATAGGATACTAGAGCAAAAAGTCTGACAATTCAGTAATATTATAGATTTTCAAACGTTTGTTTACTAGGTTACTCATGAATTCCTCTTCTTCCTCTTGATATTGTTGAAAGCTTGACTTTCTTGCTCTCTGGTATGTTTTAATCCATTGTTGGTTTTACGTAATGTCTTTCAATGAAAATGAGCAGAGTAGTTTTGCTTAAGATCACATTTGCTCGAAACTGGCGCCAGAAGCGGCCCGCTTGAAAATAATTCTGCTTATTATCGATAGATGGCATTTTCAACAATTTTACCAAATCATAAACCAAATTAAACTCAACATCTCTAGGACTCAATACAGGTAGTATTGAGTATAATATACAAAAAAACTACAAATATTAAGCAATTCAGAATCCATACTAATTTCGTTTAGTCTTGTGTTTTATTATCTACTCGGGATGATGCTACAGATTATATTAATTTCAATTAGTAACAACAAAACAAAAAGAATACTAAATGTATAAATTCTAGATTGTTAGGTACAACAAGACGTAGTAGGAAATTTCTAATTTAAATACAAGAATTAAAAGGTTGTAATACTAAGCAAGTTCCATCTAAAGAGATTCATACAACAAAAACACAATAATCCTGTTTCTTATTTTCTTTATTGGTAAATTCACATTTAAATTATAGACCATGATGGTGACTGATGTTACAATAATGGGATTTCTACGGACAAAATTTAGTACGACCACTATGATACTGTATCGGTAAAATTGATCACTACTGCTTTATATAGCTACAACAACTCGAGAGTGCGTAAATGCTTCAAAACTCGTGGTGAATCAGCAATGACACAGTCAGAAAAATAGAAAAAAATTTAATTACATAGTTACATCATTCGAACAAATTCACGATACAGATCAAACATCAAAAATATTTATTTCTATATTAATCAACTACACATTATATTTACTGAGTCGACAGACGCGTGCCGGCCGCGGCCGAGGGGGCTCGCGTGCGAGGGACGTTGATATCATATATAGAGTGTACGCCGAGCGCGAGCCCATCGGCGACGACCTGCGCTCATGTACAGCGGCGAAACCCCTTTGGTGAATCTTAATATAAACGATTTGAATGATCGGACGTTTGACGAGCAACGCACCTGAGATTCAGAGCTCGCCGCGTCTAACACACGTATCGCACCGCACAAACTATATATTAATCACGGAACAATTTAATCCGTAGTAACATTCAAAAGAATATACACTAAAAGAGTTGCACAGAGTGCGTAGACACTGATGTGGCACAGAGGGGGGACGGTAGGTCTAAAGTATCACATGGATAATTTAGATAAGGTCGATGGGGATTGTGACATATGTGAGTATATAACTGGGACTCGTGGTAGGGGCGGTGCGAGGCTGTGCGAGGCTCGAGGGCTGTGCGTCTAAGAGTCGCCCCACCAGTCAGGGCCGGTGCTGTTCCCGCCGCCGCCTCCGCCGTATGAACCGCCGTAGTTGCCGCCGTACGCGCCCCCACCGTAGCCGAAACCACCTGAAAAAAATTATTTATAATAATGATAGATATATCAGAAGCTACTTATAAAGTGTAATTTGTATATCAACACAAATAAATCAAATTTAATTTGCTTGGGTTAATGTTCATCGTCTTATTAAAATATGTAATAGATTTCTATATCACAATGTGGTTATTAAGGGTATTCATTCTGTACAGTCTTATGTCTGTAATCTAAGGTACATATTATCTAAAGTTCCCACATTGAATATAACAATAAATCTGCCAGTAGTAGAAATCAAATACGAATTTATTTTGAAGTGATCTTTAGTTCAGGATTTGTTTTCGGAGGCAATACAACGTTAGTTATTATTGTTTTACTAATTTTTCACTATAATCTACTTGTCACTATGTTCATAGTAAATATTTTTTCCTTCTAATAATTTATGTTTTTCAACTATCTTCACTTCCAATCCTTACTAATATTATAAATGGGAGAGTAACTCTGTCTGTCTGTTACACTTTCACGTCTAAACCACTGAACTGATTTTAATGAAATTTAATACAGAGATAGAGTTGTCCTTGAGAAAGAATATATAATAGTTTTTATCCCAGACTTTTGAAAGGTTCTCTTGGAAACGCGATATAACCGAATCCCACGCGGGCGAAGCTGCGGGCGGAAAGCTAGTAATCTATTATTCCGTTACCTGAGCCGATGGTAGACGGTCCAGCCGAGCGTGGTGCCTGCCGCGACTGAGTACGGAAATCGCGGGCACCGAACCCGCTACCACCGAACCTGCCGCCGCCGGACCGACTGCCGGCGCGACGACCGCCACCACCCGCACGACCATCTACAGCCGCACTTGTTAGCCAACTGAGGAAGAAGATATGTTTATTAATGACTTAATATTCTTATTGTGTAAATAACAATTTGTAGTATTCACTTGGAAAGATTTTGGTAGTGGGAATACACTTAGTACCAAAAAAGTGGTCACTATTGATGCTTATCAATAACAAAAACTCGCAACAGTAACAAAAATTATGGGTTCAATTTAAATGCTCGCAAATGTACTCGGGAGCGAATATGCAATCAGTGAATTCCAAAATCGTTCCGTGTCATTGGCCGCGTCCCACGTGATGAATATGACAGCTAAAAAATTGTAATCAACATCTATATATAATCTCTTGCCAAATTAAGTTCCGTCAACTATAGACATTTGTGGCTATATCATTAAAATGAAACTAATCTTTTTCGGATTATACTACGCGCCTTTATTTTTGTATAAAACCACATACTGACGACGTTTCGGCTACTTTACAGCAACCGTGATCACGGGCAGACGAGATGTGAATGTGTGAAAGTAGCCGAAATTTCAGAAGTATGTAGTTTTATACAAAAATAAAGGCGCTTAGTATAGTACCAAAAATCTTAGATGTCATTATGGTAGCTATATCGTTACTCACTTGGGCACATCTTGCTTAGCCTCGACTAGCAATTCAACTAGATCTCGCGCAAGCCCGCGGTTAGAATCGTTGAAGAATGAAGTCGCCACACCGAGGTTCCCCATACGACCTGTACGACCGATACGATGCACGTACTCCTCAACATCAGACGGCAGATCGAAGTTTATGACGTGACGCACGTGAGGTATGTCCAAGCCTGGAAAATTAATGTATTAATATTTCTATACATAATAATCTTTATAATAAACTTATGTGTATGTGTCTTCTAGTAAAATTTGTTCATAGTGATAAATGTTTTTATATTTACAAACAGATAGAGAAACAAAAAATTGTAAATCTAGATAACAATATTGAGGTTAATTTTTTTATATACATACATATGAAATATAAAACTACTACATACTAACATTTGATTTTATATCTTTGATAAATTGAAATAAATATCGAGATTGCATTAATGAGTCATACAGTTATATTATTGTATCAAAATTATAAATCGGCTACCATTATACCAAATAACTAGCATTGGATAATTCCCCGTATCTACATTGGAAACAGATTATTAGAAGAAAGTTTAAGCTGCAATATTTTCTATATTAACGACTTTTAAGGTAACATTTTTACAATAATTAATTATTTTGTGTTTAATTTAACTAATTGTGAAAAAAATATGCGGTATTATCCAACGCTAGTTACAATGTTTATAATCTGTGTTATGTGTGTGTGTGTGTATGTTATGCAAGTGAAGTGACCTCTAGCGGCGACGGCCGTAGCGACCAGTATCGGCGTCTGTCCCGTACGGAACCGACGCAGAGCGTCTTCACGCTCGCGTTGAGAACGATCACCGTGGATAGACGTCACAGGGTACCCATCCGCGTACAAAAAGTCCTCCAACTGATCGGCTCCTGGTAATTGAAAATACAAATGATTAGGGAAACTCGAAAAAGTCTCAGTAATACCGAAAAAAGTCCCAGTAATACCGGAAAAAGTCTCAGTAATACCGCTCTGGATGAATGCAATCGAGTAAAATTAAGAAATCGTGTGCGGTAGACAGAATAACAAGACCAACTGACAGAGATTTTCATCTCGTCTACCCGTGATCAATTTTGCTGCAAAGTAATCGATAAGTAGGGAATATGTAGTTTAGAATAAAATAAAGAAAAACGGGTAGTAATCCGAAAATATAAGTTTTTTTTAAATTAAGTCTTAGATCTCATTAACATCCTAGGTAACTTCGAACGCGAATTATATGACGTGTATATCCCTAGATTATTTCTGAAGATAACTTGGACAGTCAGTATCTATGATGCTGAACAGAATTAGTATGAATAAGGAATTAATATTTGGATGTGTATTAAAATTCTAGTTGTTGAAGAATTATTTTACATTAACTTAGTCTAAAAAGCTCCATTTTCGAAACATTATACAAACAAGTTATATAAAAATAATTTATAAGGACAAAACTTTTAATTGTATGATCACAGTGTAATATACCTTTCTTAGTTTCAACGAAGACAAGGGTGAGCTGATCTTCTTCGTTATTACGTTGTAGTAGGTTGGAAGCATTTAGTAAGTCGAGCAGGAAGGAACGCTTGTCTTGCTCTTCAACCCACACCACCTAATATAGACATTTTTAAGATAATAAGATTTAATTAATTATTAATTTAATATCCTTAATTAAATCTTATTATCTTAAAAGTATTATCAATAACCGATTTTGTGAAACTTTACAGTTATGTAGGTTAGACGTCAATATAAGTTCTATGCTGTAATTTCTCGTTATTAAATATTATTCCCGCAGAATCCCACCGTAACACCATTTCGTATTTTGCATTGTCACGTGACCTAAGATAGATGTCGCTACTCGTTGTTACCACATCCAAAGTTTTAAAACACTATAAAAAATTTCTCTGAGCCCAATTTTACACAAACTAGTAATTAGAAAAAGTCAAAAAGATATAAACATAGAAAATTAAACAAACATTACCTTCTGGGTGATATTCTCCGAAGTAGAACCGACGCGGCCGACGGCAAGGAAAACGTAGTTATGGAGAAAGTCCTGAGCTAGGACCTGTATCTGCTTGGGGAAGGTCGCTGAGAACATGAGCGTCTGCCTCTCGCCGGTCTTGGGCATGTTGTGGCCCTCAACGATCTTACGGATCTGGGGTTCGAAGCCCATGTCCAACATGCGGTCGGCCTCGTCTAGCACGAGGTGACGACAGTGGTCTAAAGCGACACGCCCGCGAGTCAGCATGTCTACGAGACGACCGGGCGTCGCTACTAGCAGGTGACAGCCGCGCTCCAACTCACGGAACTGGTCCAGGATTGAAGATCCGCCGTATCTGATATATTATAAAGTTGATAAGTTTGATTTCTTTATTGTTATGAGTATAGGCGACTCTTTCAAGAACAAAAAAATACTATGTAGAAAAATAATCGAAATTGATATTGATATATTAGAACTATGATGATTCAAAGTGAACATCTAATTACAGCTGCGTGCAAAAGTATTAGGCACCCCTATTGTTAGTCACTATCTCATTAGATAGCGGTCAAGTGTGTGTTTTATGGTTTAGCTATTGTATTAGCGGCAATTTTTAACCAAATTAAGATAAAAGAAAATATTTATGACATCCAGGTGTGCTCCTAAGCGGTGTTTCTTCGAATTTGCTTTTTTTGCGTTTCGGGTTATAGTGTGTTATCAGTGCTTGCAGTGAACATACACGTCTTCTACGCAACTATTCCTATCACAATTCTAAAGACTAACATTTAACGTGTTAATCATGCCGAAAAAATCTGAACTTAGTGCTGAACAGCGTCTAAGAATTAAGATTTTACATGAACAAGGCATGTCTCAGGTTAAAATAGCCCGAGAAGTGAAGTGCTCGTGATGTGCAGTTCAATATACTATAAATCGCTTCAAAGAGACTGGCACCCATGAAAATAAACCAAGAACAGGCAGAAGAAAAGTTACTACTGAACGAGAAGATCGATTGTTGATTAGGCAGTCTCTACAAAACAGGAAAAAAACTGCTTCAGAGCTCGCTGCAGCATTATCTGAGGCAAAAGGCAGCTAAGTGAGTGTTTATACTGTGAGAAGAAGACTTCTTAAAGCTGGATTAAAAGGATGTAAAGCAAGGAAGAAGCCGTGGCTGTCAGAACACAATAAGAAAAACTCATTCATAGAGAGGGCACTCAAACATAGAGATTGGTCAGTGGAAGATTGGTCCAACATACTGTGGTCAGACGAATCTTACTTTGAGGTATTGTTATTTATTTTATGTACAATATTAATACACATAAATGTTTTTAAAATAGCGTGCTGCAAGAAAAATTATAACTTTGAAAATAAATGTTTTTTTTCCGTTTGGCATAGGTGTTTGGAACACCCGGTGTGACTTATGTTAGGCGAAGGGTTGGCGAAGAATACAACCCAGAATGTGTGGTTCCCACTGTTAAGCATGGTGGAGGCTCAATAATGATCTGGGGCTGCATGGCTGCTGACAGAGTGGGCGAAATGGTGTTATATTAGGGACGAATGAATAGTGTTAAATACACTGAAGTTCTGGAAACAGCACTAGCAACGTCGATAACGCAAATTTTCGGTGATATAAACACCGATGGCTTGAAATTTCAGCAAGACAACGCCACTTGCCACAAGTCCGCGCATACCATGAAGTGGTTTACTGAAAATCATATTGATCTTTTGGACTGGCCATCACAATCACCGGACCTCAACCCGATTGAGCATATTTGGTCCATTTTAAAGAAAAATATCCGCAGGCACTCGATTAGCAATAAACAAGCTCTATTGGTCGCGTTACAGCAGGAATGGAAAAATATATCAAGAGAAGAATGTTTCAGGCTGGTAGAGTCAATAGCAAAAAGAGTGGCTGCGGTTATTAAGTCAAAAGGTAGACCTACAAAATATTAATTATTTTCTTAAAATAAACCATTGTAGTCATAAATGCAGTTTTATTTACACTCGCTAGGCTAAAACACCCTAAAACTTGTCTTACTGTAGGGTGCCTAATACTTTTGCCCGTGGCTGTATATTGATTATATCAATGAATAGTGTGATAAAGTAACGTTAATTACTCTTATTTAAGAATATTAATCAAACTGACAATATTAAATAGATAATTAACTTACACAACACATGGTCGTACACGAGAGCGATAAGCGAACTTCCTGGCTTCATCATAGATCTGTGTGGCGAGCTCGCGCGTGGGGGCCAACACTAGACCGAGCGGATACTGTTTACGTTTGAGATACGGACTGGAATATAAACATATAATATTAATAAATTTAGCTTAAAGTAACAAAAGTTTTTGTATATAATACACATCGTATATTGTAAATAAACGGAGAAGTGAGTTATTTTTGGCCTAAAAGAAACTCCATCCAGACTTTTTGCTTTACCTAAATGTAATGATTCAAATAATACTCATGTTATTCAGATTACTACGCGTATTTTATTATTTTTTATTACATACTCCCGACGTTTCGGTTACTTTACAGCAACCGTGATCACTGGTGGACGAATCCGAGTAACATTAGTTTCATTCAAATTTATACTCGCTAGTATTGAATATTATCAAATGTATAGATGTTTGTTCTCACCCAGCGTTCTTGACGGGTCCCGCTTCATACATCTGGTTGAGTATTGGCACGAGGAAGGCGGCCGTCTTTCCCGAGCCGGTCTGAGCGCACGCCATAACGTCCCGCCGCCCTAGTACTATGGGTATAGCGTACTTCTGTACCGGAGTCGGCTTGTCGTAACGTGCGAATGCAATGTTCGTGCGCATTATCTCCGTCAGGTTAACATCCTCGAACTGTAAATAGATCAAAATTAAATATAAACTTGATTAATACTTCTCAAATTAACATCTTTTTTTTATATTTTTACATGTGAATAAGCTGTATGTACATTACTGCACAATGGATAAAAAAAGATTAATTTCGAAACTTGTTTTATATTAATGATAGTAGTCATGAAATCTAAAAAAAATCATAATTTTACCCATAAAAAAACCCATTTTAAACAAGAAAAAATAGGAATGCTGAAAATTATTTACCATCAACATGGGCCAGTAGACAATATGAGTCTGAGAACGCCTATTTTACTGTTACTGTAATAAATGTATAGTACTCACGCTCGTAATGAATTCCGGCACGGAGTCCCCGCTAGCCTCGACCGGTATGTCTTCGTATTTGGAGAAGTTAATGCCTGTGTTGCCGGTGCCAAACAGCTCCAACTCCTGCCGCTCGTCGCGAGGTAACGGGATTGTCCAATCGTTCTGTTATATTACCAAAATGTTATGGAGTCACATTTCATATTTAACATGGTTTTTCAGTGAAAAATACGTATATTAAAAAAAAAACATGTGTATGTAGAAATAGAATACCAATATTTATGAAAAGAAAACAAGTAAATATTTCGAAAGATATGAAAGAATTAACTTTAACTTATAATTCTTCGAATACAAAGAGCATATAAACTTTTTAATCTAGAGAAATCTTATACCAATCAAAGCCACGAAATGTTTGATAACACAGCACAACAAAATCAAACTTTTTTTTTGTTGCATTGAGTTTTTCTACTGTTGTTTACTAATTTGGGTGCGCTAATTTTAAATCTGACCTCAGATTTTTTTGTAGCAGCTCTAGTTAGTCAGATACAGGTCCGTCTTGAATTTACATAAGTTGTCAATAGTTTCTACCAATAGCGGTGTAACTTAACTAGTCCCTTTATAAATTTCATTATGTCTTCCTCAAGAAGGACGTGTTTAAATAATCCTGAGTGTTTTTGTGCTATTTGCGGATAATATATGTTCCAAAAATATCGTTTAAGTGTGTTAGACTTTGTAAAAAAGGCATACTTTGACTACTTTGGGTTTCCGTTGCCATCAAACGCTAAACCTTTGATACCAATTTTGTTATGTAAAAGTTGTATTGAATCTTTGCATTTATTGGCAAACAAAAAAAGACCAAATTTTAAGTACAAGTCTCCTATGATATGGCGTGAACCACCCAACCATCATAACGACTGTTATTTTTGTGTAACGAAAATCATAGGAATAAACCATAAAAATTGCTCTAAGTGGATATATTCAAACTAAAAATCTGTCGTAAGAACAGTCTTGAGTATTAGTGACACATCAACACCACAGCAGCCTTGTAGATATTCGGAAATCCAGACCAGTGCAGCGGACAAACCGAAACGACGACAGTGGTAGAGACAATAGTCCCCTATTACTAAATAAAGAGGATCTAAGTGACTTGATCAGGGATCTTGGCCTGTCTAAAAGTTGATAGATGATAAAAATTTCATCAACCATATGACAGCTATTGAGAAATGTGCATGAGAAGAGTTTGTTTGAGTAGTGAGAAATTTTTTGAGAATACTAAGTCTGACGGCTACATTCAGCACGTTGAACAGTTGCTGATACACTTCCAGCGGCTTGGATGCAACATGACTATTAAGCTTCACTATCTTCACAACCATCTAGACTATTTTCCTGAAAATCTAAGTGACCTAAGCGAGGAACAAGGAGAGCGCGTTCAACAGGATATTCGCTCTATGGAGAACAGGTATCAGGGGTACTGGAAGGAATATATGATGGCTGGTTATTGTTGGAGCATTCAAAATAGTACTCATGATACATCTCACCCTAGAAAATCCACAAAAAGGAAATTTTATTCAGACTAAATATATTTAATAATTTTTTTAAACTTAAATTTTGTGCATTTTTAATGAAAAACCCTGTCTCTTCATAACTCCAAAACTAGAGCTGCTACATAAAAACGGCATATATTTTTGAAATCAGCACGGAAAAACTATTCAGATTCATGTAAAAAATCTCATGCAACAGACATGCTGTTTTCCAGTGTAATCATACAGGTCAAAAAGATGATAATTATAATAATTGCACCTCAAACTTTCATCATAACTTGAATATATAGACTATATACATGACGCTAGCACAAGTACAAACAAAACATAGACGAATCATAGACAAATCATAGACAATACATGTACCATATTAATATTCATCACAAACCTCGTCTCTGCGATTGGATGTTCGCCGCACGTCATCGGAGGGCCAGCGCGAGTGCTGCCGGTCTTCCCTCGGCTCCGGCTCCTTCCAGCGATCGTTCCTTGGCTGAGGAGGCTCATTGAAGTCCTCGTCGCGTCGCACGTCCCTCGAGGGGAGTGTGCTCCGGGCTCCGCTGGCGGCCCCCGAGCCGCTGCCCCCCCAGCGCTCGCCCTCCGTCCATCGCTCTGAATCACCATTCTGGTAGCCCGAGTCACGACCTGCCATTAAATAGCATGAATATTAAATATGTATGGTTAAATTAGTACATTTTATGGCAAGAACCCCCCAACATGCTCCTTGGAGGAGGCCTATGTCCTGCAGTGGACGTCTTTTGGCTGATGATGATGGTTGTGTTTGCATTTATTATTTATGAATATTTATGTATATAAAATTTTTAAATATCATCTTTATATACCATTCTTGTTTGATGTATAGGTACCAAATCAAGGAAAAAAGTATTAACTTAATATTAAACTGTAATATACTAAAATTATTTTCGTCCTCGTACCTCTTAAAGAAAGAGTATTAATAAATTTTATGACGTTAAACATAAGTTAAAATAGAATTTACTCATCGTTAAAAAAAGGCACTTAAATCCGTACTAATATTATAAATGCGAAAGTAACTCTGTCTGTCTGTTACGCTTTCAAGCATAAACCACTGAACTGATTTTAATGAAATTTGGTACAGAGATAGAGTTGACCTTGAGAAAGAACATAGGATAATTTTTATCCCAGACTTTGGAAAGGTTCTCTTTGAAACGCGATATAACCGAACTCCACGCGGGCGAAGCTGCGGGCGGAAAGCTAGTAACATATAAAAATGTACTCAACAAAATATGTAATATTTTTCTGTTATAAATGTGATGGCGTCGCGTTACATACCGCGGTCCCTGCTTGGGTATCGCGAGTCGTATTTACTGATACTTAGAAAACAATTAGCCACAATCTATCTATCTATCTATATATATAAAAATGAATTGCTGTTCATTAGTCTCGCTAAAACTCGACAACAGCTGAACGGATTTATCTTATCTTAGTCTTGAAATGTTCGTGGAGGTTCAGGGAAGGTTTAAAAGCTGAAAAAATTGATTCATTTCCGGGAAAACCCTAGTCTTCTAGTTATATATAAAAATGTACTCAACCAGATATAGAATATTTTTTCAATATAAATGTGTTGTCGTAGTGTTACATACCGCGGTCCCTGCGCGGGTATCGCGAGTCGTAGCCGCGATCGTTGTCACGGTCGCGGTCACGGTCGCGGTCGTCGCGCCGACCACCACGGTCGTAGCCGGCTCTAGGGTTGCCACCGAATGATGAACGACTGTCTCGTGTGTCGTTCGGTCGAGACTCTAAGCTCGAGCGCTTAGAATCCTCACCTGGAAATATATACAAACTCCTTGAAGCTCACGATATATATGGATTCATTTATAAAACTTGTAACTTGCCAGTGAAGATACTATATCTAAGTCACAGCTTAAAAACAAATTTAAAATCTTCTCTAATTATATAGAATAGAATATCATTGTTTCATTTTCAATGCACTAAAAACTATCTATGTCAAGAACTTGAAATGTATGGAAAATTACTACTTATTTGCAGACTACTTTGCAACAAGGCAATTAGATTTAAACATTTTCAGTATATTATTTTCAATTAATAAAGGCTAAAATATTACATCTTCTTTAGATTAAGGCTTGCCTTTGCCTGACTACCAAAACTTTGTCTATATAAAGTTAATGAAGAAATAATAATAAAACTCTAAAGTGAAAAGATTATTTGCATAAATTAAAATATTAATATGGTATAGCTCATACAAGATTCCTTATAATGTGTTGAAAGTTTTACTCAATTATATTTCAATGAATCACTAAACACAAAGAATTATAAAACATTATGATATATAGGACTTTTCAAAGCAGTCATTCAAATTAAACTATGATCATCAAATTTACTTAACAATCTCATTATTTTCTTTTATGAAGGTTCTGTTATAACCGTAATCATAGAATGATGATACAGAAACGTCGACATCTAAGTAAAAAAATCTGAAAATAAAACTAAAGCTAACTCAATATAGGCATTTATTAAAATTTTCATCTAATATTGGAATAATTTGTTCAATATACAGGATGACTGGTGAATTACTATCAATATTTAAGGAGGATACTCGGTACATGATTCTCATTCGAATTATGTAAAAAAAATAAGCACTTAATTTTTGACAAAATTTCCGTATAAATAAATAAAGTTTTGACACGTTCCAAGTGTTCCAAGTGTGGACGCGTGCGGTGGCGTGCTGATACAACACCACGCCGCGCGCGCGTATGTGTGAGTGTGTGTGTATACCTAATCTGTAGGGTGGTTACACGATGCGTAATTAATTACACAACTTTTGGTTAACTTTACTTAGAAGTTTTTGAATATTTATGTAATATTAATTTTTATTTTGTCATATATGATCGTCAAATATCACGTCCTCAAGTATCGATAGTAATTCACCAGTCACCCTGTATATTTGTTTCTTAAGACATACAATGAATACTCAAACTCGGTAAATATGAATGTGTAATGATAATAGTAAATTTGCAGTGTTTTAAAGACAACTGTCAAAGTATATTAATAACTATGTATTATACTTATACTATCCTGGCAAGTACCAATGTAATTTTTCCGAGTCATATGTACTTTCTAAGAGTATTGAGACATCACTGAATAATGCATTCCCAAAGAGGGTTGATTTCAGGCAGGTGGCCTGTCGTAAAAACAATTAGCCAAAACTATTCACAATATGTAAGGCAGACCCTGGCTAAAGCTGGGAATATTGCTGGGTAGAAGAAGAAGAAGTATATATATACTAACCTTTGGACTCCAACTGCCTACGCAGATGTGGAGGGATGTAGCGGCCAGTACTCTTAGGAGCCTGAGGCTGCAAGTCCAGACCAGCAAGCTGCCAAAAATATAATATAAAATAATAAAAAAAACTATTAATATATAAGATAATTCTAAAGAAGTTTGAATGCGGAATTAAATATACAGTTGTATATACACAAGCTTGTGTTTCGATTGAAACAATGATTTTTTATATCATATTTGAAGATATGATTTTTGTAATTGCACAACTATTACTTCACTAAATCAGTTCACATGAAAATTGAGATGAATCAGCAAAAATGTATATGATGAAATTGTAAATTGAATTATATTTCTCCTATTAAGAAATTAGGTCAGTCGACTTCAGTATCAGCAAGATCACGAATATAATAGTTTGTAAATGTCTTGCTTATTACATTTTCTATAATAGAAAAGTAGGTTTCTTTTTAACATAAAAATTAATTTAATATCTTCTTTCTACAGCCGAAACTATGTTATTTGAAATATTCCACATCTATAGTAAGAATTTTAATTAAGAAACTAATGAATAGTATTGTGTTAAGACAAAATCAAAAATAATTTGACTATCTATAATGCAACAAGTTTTACTATGAAATAACAATGTACACTTTAATTCACAAAACTAATATATTCCAGCAAATATTTGAAAGCCTTTTAATATAAAGATCCATTATACAATCCATTACACATATCGAAAAAATCTAGCAATTTTGTTAAATAATAATGATTGTTTTACTTATTTAGAAAATTAAAGTCAAAAAATTAACATTTAGATGCCAAACCTATAAAATCAATCAGATACCCAAGAAGAGCCAGGTCGCCATGTTGGTTATACCAAGACACGTAAAGTTGGATTTTATAGTGTTTTACGAACGTGGTTTGTAATGAACATTGACATAATGTAATTTACAATGTTTAGGATACATTTTCATTAAATAAAAAAGGATTTTCATTTACTAAGAGAAAAATCAATACAAAGTACTTGTACATGAGGCACCGACCTGCTGCTCTAGACCTGTTCCATTTTGGTTGGTAACATTACTCATATTACTACCAAGCGGTACGTTTTTTTGGGAACGTTGCTCCAAAAATATTATACAAACACACTACAACTATAAACAACAAAAAAACAACCCAACATTTTTTTAACACACCAAAACACAACACACCATACAAAAACACAGTCTACAATGAATTTTGCACTAACACAAATTCACAAAATCACATAAAAAGGCTTCAATTTTTCTCCCCGAAATCACTTTTCATTCGCAGTTTTTGTTCTTCATAGATACTGACTTTTGTCTTTGATAACTTCATTCATTCAAATTTGTTCAGAGTGAATAATTTTAGTATAGATTTAGATCAAGCGCTTTTATTAGATTTAAATTGTAAAATAAAAATATAAAATATTTTTTATATTTTATATAGCTACGCCTGTATCGCAATAAATCATAAAATGATTTATTCATCACTCAAAATCGGTAAAAAAATGTTATGAATAAACTTAATTGCTTTTTTAAAATATAAGTTGACATGATTCGAGAATTATGATTTTATTTTTAATTTAATTTAGTTAGTTAATTTAATAGTTAAAAGATTAAAACGCAGTTTTCGAAAGAAGTGGTTTAATTTCCCACAGATTCCCTGCCGTCAATAGGAGTGAATAGGGAAAAATTAGTACTAATAACTCTGAAAATCTACACTTGAATATCAAAATAATTTGTGAGTACTGTTTTTATTTTTGAATCTAAGTAGAACAAAGGAGTAGAATTTTTTTTAACTTCTAAAAACTGTATTTTATGAAAACTGGTAATTTATTAACATCATTGGAAGTTTTCCGTACTTATACAGTTTTTAAAGTACAATGCGGGGGTGGATAGGAACGGAATAATTAGTACATAATATGTACAGTTGTTCAGTATAAGGGACTATTTCAACAGGATTGTCTTCATAAAAAAATGTGATATAAGTAATTTACGTCTGAAGTTGTTATTAACATATTTACTTATTGTCCTGAACACAAAACTTGAAAAGTTACTTGGTATTATGGGCAATTTTATCTATACAAATTTTTTATCAAGTGCCTATGCAGAATGAATACATATAATCTAGTTCTCTTCTAATAGTACACAACTATCTAACTATCTAGACAACTGTTTACCGAAATTGTACAAGTCCCAACAGTTTTTCCGTATAATGTCAATCACCGTCCCTATTAACCCCATTTTATGCCTAAATGAGTACGACTTATAATTTAAAGATTTTGCGATATAAAACTGATACTTTAATTATTAAATGCAAAGTCATCAGGAATCTTTAAAAAGTAACTCAAGTTGGAATACCAAAATCAAAATAATTGTATAAGTATGAGCATGTTCCCCGTTTGATGGTACTTAATAGCATGACCCAATTCGAAAGTATCGATAGGTACCTTTTTATTTTATTCTATGGCTTTATTCACAATAGAATTGTTCATTATTTTACCATTGTCATAGTTTTTATTTATTGAAGGATAGGTGGAAGTGAAATAACTTGAATGTAGTTGTAGATCTGTAATTTTGTACTGTCAATTTTTGACACTTATCACATCGAAATTGAATAAAAAAAAGTTAATAATAAAATAATATACATACAAATGCCTAAGAAAAACTTTTTAGATTTATTAGACATCTGAAACAATGAGCCACGATATGAAGTGTACGGTACCTAGAGAGAGGCAATCTCCTCCGGCGCCTAGAGTGAGGCAACCTCCTCCAGAGCCTAGAATAAGGAAGCCTCCTCCAGAACCAAAAAGGACGCATATACTTTTACCGCCACAACCACGGCAACGTCAACCACCACCACAACCAAAAAGGGAAACCATAATCCCACCCTCGCAACCGAGGCAGCGACAACAACCACCACAGCCGAGGGAACGTCAATTACCTCCTCAACCCAAACATTGATTCCATTTAATCTTCTAATAATCTTCGTCCGAAATTGATTAATTTTTTCCGTTACAAAGAGATCATATTTAATATATGATCTATATTGTTTGTATTTCTGGTAAATTTGGTGGAGATATGTTTATTTAAAATTGAGCGAAGACTTAAATATTGTAAGACACTTTTTTTTGTGAGATATCAATTGTCAAAATATTAATTAACTGGATTTTAGTTTATTGTTCAGCTAAATTCAATTACATAGTCAAAAGATCTCGGTATACATCAATTGGTATTGGACACAAATAAATTTTTAAAGCGTTGTTTAAGTCCTGTAACTGGTGAATTATTTCATTTTTTTTAACATTTTTGTTATGCTTCCATATATAGTCTAAAATATATTGTAACTATTTTCACACGTCGCTTGTAACAATTTTTGTAAGGGATTAAGGTACATAATAATAACATACACAAATTATTATTCAAAGATTTTTATTCTTATATTTGTTAATAATTTACTATATAATATTATAAAGAATGGTAAGTTAAGAGTTGAATTGATCGGTGTAACTTGAAAAAGGATGTAAATTTAAACACATGAGAAAATTAATTTTCAGAAACTAATATAATTAAAATAATCTGAGCTATACAAAATTCTTATACAGATATTATGAAAATGCTGGTTGTTTTTAATATTATATTTAAAGAGTGAATAGAATGATACTGTGATATTTTGTTAACCGCCTACAACTTCATTTCTTTGGATGAAATGACAGTCAAGCACAAACCAGGCAACATTAAAAACTGTTTACATAGATTCAATCATGTATAAAACTAACTGTGATAATTGTGCCCCCCAAAGTATGACTTGAAATTTTATATTATACTATTTTATTTGCTATTGTATTATGCTATTAATGTAAAAGATATATTAATAAACATGACAAATCATTTGCATAACTTTTTTTTCAAATCTAAATTTATTCTTCCTGTTCTTATCTACTTCCTTTGTAGTTTTAGTGCAAATATTTAAAACATGGGTATACATATTACACTTAACACTGAATTAGTTGTTTAATTTTATCTGCTTTACAATTACCATAAATGGACTCAAGAACATAGAATAAATTTAACTTCATGAATAAACATAGAAAATATGCATAGGACATGAGTCTTACTTTTTAAATTATTATGACAATTATATTGACATCAATTGCTATCTAAATGCCAATGTAAAACTATAATTGTTTTATATGTATAAGGCTACTGTTACGTATGCTAATATCGAGCTCGAGAGTATGCGTCAATTGAGTACTTGCTACTTAATACCATGTGATACAAGGGGGCGTGCCTTAAGCACATCTAAACAGATTTGCTTATTGAGCATGCTAGATATCTTGTTTCTGTTTGGAGGTTTTGATTTTAAAGAGTAAAAAATCAAATTGATGAGATAGCATTCGCATATGGTTTTATGACCCGAAACAAATTCTAGCGTTTTGTTAGCAATTAAGCACACGTTCCAAAGTTCCTTCATCTAAATGTCCAATTACGGACACAAATCATTTTCCTCCTTTTCGAGTTTTGGCGACCTGACTTAAGATTCTGGATGCATTACATCGTCAGCAAAAGGGTGATCTTATTCATCTCCATACGGATAGCTGTTTGATTATCCATGGCTTTGTTTGAATTGACAGAAAGTCTGCCAAGTACGCTTTAGTATAGCATATGTAACTATTTGGAACTTTTGGTTTGAGAATGCTTATTCAGGAGCATACATAAAACTAGCATGCCTATTGCCCGCAAATGTATACGTCTCCTAAGCATGCTTGTATAAAGCATACTTGATAAAACGCTTTTTATTATGCTCATTTAGAGCATGTGTAACAGCAGCCTTATGATGCATTTAGGCGTCCATATTTCTATTTCTTACTGTATTAACTTACAAGGTAATAAAATCTAGTAGTACATAGTATTTATTTTTTACCTGTATATAAAAAAAAAATTACCCCTGATTCATTAAACATTTATCGAATAATTAGTCATATTTTATGATGATTTAGAATTTAGATGAAGGTTTGAATTCTGTTGTTATAATTTCTAATTTAAATTGTTAAATTTTGAGAATTGTCTCCTAAAATAAAAGACAATACAATTTGAAACCCTTCAGTATTTGCATTTTAAGGATATATTAATTTCTGTAAAGAAAGCTTAACGAAATGCCAAAATTAGTCACACTTAGCTTATATATCATCAAGAGGTCGCGCGTGGGTGGTGAATATAACGGATGCCAGCGTTTGACCTTAAAGCGAATCCTCGATAATGCTCAGAATATTACCAACAGTAGCGTAAAACAGTTGAAAAATGTTGTTGAAAATTTCAATAATACTTTTTTGTACGCTACTTTTAAATAGCGCGATCGCTGCTATAATTCAAGACGATGTATACTCTGTGCAGGAGTACGATGTGATTATAAAGGATATTCAGTATGAAGATTCACCGGTTGAAGAAAGCGAGTGTCCCGAAGGATATAGATTGGACATTTCCAGAATATGTAGGGAAGTGTGGTGACAAGTGACTAGTTATGAGCTCATTATATGAAATATTGTTTCAAATTCACCTACTGGTATTGTAATTTTTATTGAATATACAAATTTGATTTAATATATATGTTATTTTCAGTATTATTTTTGTTTGTTTAAATACCCTTAATTTTAAAGAGGTGACATTTATAAGAAAAGGCCGCTGTCCAATGAAAAATCTTTATTACACAATGTAAATATAAAAAAGACGTTGTTTATTCAAAAATATTTAATAATTATATAAATATCTTCATAGGAAAGGTTTAAGGAATTTCCAGGTGTCGAGTTTCTCCAGAATCGGGTTCAATACAGTGATAACGGCACTGGCGCCGAGTTTTGAAATTGCACCACGGAATCTATTCGCATAATCTATAATCACGTCTTCAACTATCGCGTTAACAATATTGTCAATATCACCGCCGCCAATAGCTCCTTCAATTTCAGACTGAAAACAACAATCATTTAATATTAGGTAAAAATTATATTTTTTATAATGGTTGACGTTTAAAAAAAGTATCATGAACGGATTCTATTCATTTTGCCGCACAAAGTCAATACCGCCAATTATAATGTCATTACGCTTAGTATAATAATGATTCGTCATTATAGTGTTATAAACTTATTTTATATAATCGTAATTAATAGTTGTTTATTTCCATACCTTTATTGTTGGAAGATCAAAAGATACGTCTTCTATTTTGTCAATCACAACAGCTTTTTCGTCGTCTGATGGCTTCAGATATAATTTGGCTCTAAGCCGAAATTCATCAACGAAGAATCTGTTAAAAGCATTAAAATTAATTCATGACTTGGTTATGGTTGGTTGTTTAAAATATGGCCTTCATCCGTGCAAAGACATGCACAGTATATTCTGCCAGTGTCGAGTAGAATTTAAGAGACGCGATCCGGGATTAACTTTTAAATGAAATAAAATTTAACCGCCACGACTAAAGTCACAATTAGGAAATAACTTGATTATAGATACGGTTCTATATAATATTTATTTTAAAAATAATTTATATATTTCTGTAAACTTAAATAATTTTTAGTTACTTCAATAATGGTTATAAATTTACCTGGCCCCTCCATTTCCAAAAATCGGAATAGCTGTCAATAGGTCGCCTGTGAGATCGTACACCTCTGCAAAATAAAATTAGTTAAGCTTTATAAATCATATATTTATATTCTAAAAGTATTATTACACAAAATGGTTTAATTATTATAGTATCTATGTGGATGCTAGTTTATGTATTCCATTGGAAGTTCCACCCATATGTACAGTTAAACCTAAAATGGCGTATGCAAATTTTAATGAAAAACAGCTGATTACTAAAGGTGTGAAGGCACAAGATAATTCAAAGTGAGTAAAGTTACTTCTCATTAATTAAAATACATAAATACATTTATAATTCTTTACAAATGGTACTTAGTTGTAAATATTATGTTGTAATAAATTTATTTAAAAGTACCTGTGCTGATGTCTATTTTAGGGAACGCAATATCGAGATCAAACACCAGGTCGCGAGTTGAAAGGTCGCTTTTGTGAACTACAAAACCTCCAAGGCCTTTCATCAAAATATTTTTCAGCTCCAAATCCAAACTGAAAAAATAGATTTTAACATAATATAAATTTATAATTCAGTAAAAGTTTTAATTAAATAATTTTTGAAATTTTTAGTCTGTAATTTTTTTTCTTAAATCTTGTTATACTCTTTTTTCAGTCATACAGAACAAAACTTATTTAGTGTTTTTTTTCTATATAGATGTAGTTAGTGTTAGTACTATTGTAAACTAATATTGTAGTTACTTACTTAATAAGTCCAGCTGGTACAACCAGGTGAAAACTTTCCAGTCTGAGAGGGTCCAGCGGTGGAATGCCTATGAGCCATGATCCGTTTCGAATGATATCCCGAATCATATTGAACAGTTGACGAATGAGAACATTTAGTAAGAAATTACGTTGTCCGGGAGCGATGTCCTTTGGTAAATCTGTGTATTTGTTTTATTTACAATTAATAATAAAATTTGTGTTATAATTATAAAAAAAAACATTCTTGTTGTATAACGTGGATGGTAAGTACAAACTGTAATAATAATACATTCTAATTATACATTCTGTAGCTTCTTGAATGTTATATATTCGAAATTTTAAAACAATTATTAATTTGAATGATATTAAACGAAATAATGATAAAAATATAAATATATTTTTTTAAACTCACCATAGACTATAACTTCATGATTTTCGGATCTCGGAGCAGCTGCGGTCGCCGCTACGAGGGCGCATAGCGCAAACAACACAAGTAATTTCATTCTGAAATAATAATTGCATTGTGTAGCCTTGTATGGATTTTGGTAAAAAAAAGATCTATTTATAAATGACAGCAATTTGCGCATGATGTAATATTATTTAATAACATTAATAATTCTTATAATACTGATAAAAATATAAGATTTCTATGACCCTTATCTCTCATGTACCTTTTATGGCAGAGTAATAAAGACTAAATTGGGGAATCCAGGAATCCAGAGCGTATGAAGCCATTGTATATTAAAAACTAAATTGACAGATATTACGCATCTTATCCTTAAATGGAAATTCAAATCCATAATATGGAATTAAATCATTGACTTCCCTTTTTAAATCAATCAGGCCCATTTTTAAACGCAGAACAGTTTTCATGTTTTATTAAGAGGATTGCGTGATGATATGTTTATATAAATTATTCAATGTACATGCATCCTTCCTTAAATATATGTATAATTTAAAGACATTGTCATTACATATTTAAACAGTTTCCGTTTCGTAGGATAAATTTTAAAATAAATAAATTAAGTAAATTATTAACATATTAATAATAATTTATTGATAAAGTGGCATTATATCATGGGCTGAAGATCATAGCTGGCTGAAAAATTATTGACAATCACATGTTATTCGTTAATTATATATTTTTTTATCTCAAATCGATCGAACCTTTGTTCGAGAATCTTTATTCTGATAAAAATACACTATTAAGATGTGTATCAGCTGTTTGATATCTAGTTAGATATTTTGAGGATACGATTAAAAAATACTGTGGGTGAAGCAATGCTATTTAATTTGAAATATATATGAACGACCAGCAACAAATCGTCTCTTTTATAAGCGAATTAGTTTAGAATAGAAACGAGAATAATAATGGAATTAGAAGTAATGTGACTAAACTATTTTGAAAGCAATATTTTGATTTTGTTTTTTTTTGTGTCTCAAATGGTGATACTATTTAATTTATACTCAATCAATAATTGTAGTATATAATGTAAATCTTTTAATGGAATCTACATACTGTTTTTTTTAACTACAAAATCTTTCAGTCACCTTCGAGAAACTTCTGGATATGATTTCGTTCCTAGATTCCTAGATTTCAGTAAAAAGTATCATGGCTTATTATGCATTCCTAGTGTATGATTTGGGCTGTATATTTATTACATAGATTAAGAAAGTTTGCAAGAAGCGACACCTATTCTCAACTAGGGAGAACATTGAGAAGAGAATAAGCTTGTTGATAGCGAGTTTCAAAAATAGACAATAAGATTTCCTAAATGATTTTTTGTCATGCTGGCCGCTATCAAAGTTTACCCAAAACCTATTGGAATATGGTTGCGAATATTTACAAGTGTGACTGATCTTTTAGTTAGTTGTTATAATAAAAATTTTGTTAGTCTTGGGGTTGCGACAGCATTAGGGAAAAAATAAAAAAATGTATGTGAAAAAAGAGACCTTGGCGGACGTGTATTTAAAAAATGCTTGCTACATTCTAAAGACGTAGTGAAATAAATGATGGAGTGGTTTAAAAACATATTTAATCTTAATACATAAAAATGAACCCTTTTTCCCTTGGTCACTGCATAACGCGTGAATGGTTGGACCGATTTCACAAATTCTTTTTTGTTGTATTTGTTATTATTAGGAGAAAATTCTTATGTAAGAAAAAATTACGAAAGTTACTTGAAATAAAAAAAACTAGAATATTTCACTTTTTTAATAAAGAATTTAACTTCATTCAGATAAAAGGTAACAGATTTCTTGATTCTAGTGAGGTTTGAAGTTCGCCGGGTGAGCTCGTAATAAATAAATAAATATTATAGAACATGTAAAACGCTTTGTCTAATTCAACAGTATTGACTGGCAGATGAAAAACTGCAAACGGCGGGAATATTTTATAGGCCTAATTAAATCACCAAACAGATGTAAACAATACTACTAAAGAGTTTATGTAATGTTTTAATCAATAAAACACGAAAAACCTTTTCCTCGCCCTATTTTTAGACCCTATGACATAGACCTTTTGTTAGTAAAAAAAAAGTTAAACTCACTTCAACTTCCAGCAGAACGTTTTATGTCCTACAAATCGAATGACAACTTATCAAACAGAAATTGCCTTATATTATAATTATCAAATCTTCTGAACAACAATTTATTACGTATATATATCATATTATTTGTTTATCTCAACAATTAATCAGAACAAAATATGAAGGTAATGCCAATAACATTGATACGTTATCTGTGATGTTCCTGGTCTTTTTTGATTATGGTATTTGTCAAATGAGACAATGAAAAAGTAATCTGAGATGGTTTCACTCCATTCAAGTTTTTTTAGAGACGCCAATAACTAAAATATAGAGAGGGACAGAGGTTTTCTTAATCTGAAGGAAGCAGAATTTACCTTTTATCACACTGAAAATTAAAAAAACTATTGTCAAAGCAAATAAGGAATTTATTGTATAGTTTTTATGTACAACGAATTTGTATTTAGTTACATTATTTCGATTTTTTTTTATGAGAATGGTGGCAAACGAACAGACGGCCTACTTGATGGGTAGTAGTCACCGTCGCTCATGAACATCCACAACATATATTGTGGATGGTTATTGAGAATAAGGTGGGAATAAGGAGATGGCAGGAAAGGATGGGAAGTTGGGAATAGGGAAAGGGCAACCGGCTCTCTCACTCATCAGACGAAACACTCATATTAAAGGCTATTCCACGTCGATCTTCTGTAAGAGGGTGGTACTTCCCCGGTCGAGCCAGCCCATCTTCAAACTGTAGTTATGTTACCATAGCTAGGCTCTACCACCTCTAGACTATAACTCCTTACAAAATAATAATGAATTAAATATACAAATAAAACTAACTATTAAAGCAAATATTTATATTTATTTCTTTAATTTTACTTTAGATACAATATAGTTTTATGCAACTAAACAAATGATTATGATTAGAAGATCATCAATAATTTATAAATATAAAAATATATTTTTATAAAACTGCAGCGAGTAGCTTCCATGATTCAAATTTATTAAAAAAAAGATTTAAATTGTCTATGACATATTGGATTAAACTCATAGCTATATATTTGTTAAATCTGTTAAGGTATTGCGTCATAAGATCTTCCATCATGGCGTTGAAGATGCTGTCTATGTTTCCATCTACATCCGTGTTTGACTGTTAAATAACAAAAACCTATACATTTCTTATCAGTAAGAAAAATATAAGTAATTAACTATATCAAATCAAAATCTCATAGATTATTTATATCAACGAAAATGTTCTATTTCATTCTAATATTTCCAATTAGTTTAGATAAGATAGGCTTTGACAAAGGAAATAAATTTTCCACCATCCCGTACTAAATCGTTTATCTTACTCGAATTCGTTGGAAGCTGAACTCTGGGTTTGATATGTAATTGATCAAGACAGATTTTTCATCTTGAGATTGCTTCAAAAAGACCATTCCTTTAAAATTGAAGCTGATCACTTCCAACCTGTTTGAGAAAAGAATTGAATTGGACAAAAACCACGTATTAAAGTTATGCTACTTTTTTTTAAAACATAATCTTACTCGAATTTTCCTTCTCCAGATATTGGAACTGCTCCATAAATGTCACCTTCCATTTTATAGTATTCTACAATATAAATATTATTTTATTTTAATGAACCTTTGCAAGAATTATTAAATTTGGATATGTACATAACACATCAATCTTTCTTTGTATTTATTTGTACATACATATTTTAAATTCCGAAACTTAATTCAACATTTTATTTAGTTACTTGTTATAAAGAATTTATTAATTGCTTTTTTATAGGCTTCATTCGCACAGGAATATTAAAATATTATCTTAATGTCAACGTTTTTATTTCTTAGACTAATTATAATAGAGTACTGTATATTATTAGTTTATTAATAAGTTATATCACATTTTGAACTAATAAAAGTAACATATATATTATAGTCTTTGTCTAATTGACAATTTAACCTGATTTAATTTTGATCGATGGGAATGTAATAGACACATTGACAGCTAGTTTTTCCTTCATAAATTTGGCTTTATCCAATTGAAAATTACTGACTCCCTTTACGACTGCTTCTTGGTAAGCAGCTTGCAGGCTGTAAAGAAATATATAAAATAATATAGAAGTTACAATATATAGCGCAATTTGAACGTGTTGATGTTAAAGTAGGTATAAGCTGATTTTCTCAGTCTCGTTTGTCGTTTTTTTACTAGGGGTTTAATGTAAGTAGCCTTTTTCAGCAACTTTGCACAATAATTATGTTTGGTTAAAAAATAGACAATGTAACATCTAATAGGCGGTTACTTATATCATCTAGGTCACGTGACGTCACGAAAATACAAATTATAATACATATGTAGATACCCACGGAACATATACTGAATGTCGGGATAAAGTGAGCCCTTAAATTTTTTTGTTACAGAGCTTAACTAATGTAAGGATTCATTAAAACATAATTGTTTCTTGATTATGAAGAAAAAATAAACGTTCATATTGAATCCATACATAAATACAAACATGCTTATATTCGCGTTTTAATTATTTTAATATTTGTCATATACAATATGACTTATTAGTCAAACTACAAAATAGTATATACAACATTCACTTTTATATACAACTTTAATTTACTAGCAACATTTAATCAGTTCACTTGTTTTGCTAGTACAAATATCAATTTATATTTCTTTTTTAATTCGAGCAATATTTAGCAGTTATGACTTTAGTAGAATAACAACTTAATTCTATATTGTACAAATAAAATGCAAACCTGAGTATTTTTGATGGAAGGACTATTTCTATACCACCGTTTTCGACTTCAAAAGGGTCCAATATTGGTATATTTTTTTCAGAATCTCCATTTCTTATATAATATTTAAGCATTTCAAACAGCTGATGTATTATTGCATCTCCATTCAATTGTCGTTCGACTTCTCGGGATACATGTATAACTAAAAATTTATTTACAAAATTTATTATGATAAATAATTACTAATTTTAAGACTAAAAAACACACCTCTCGCATGTCCACAGGCAATTATTGAAAGAATTAGAAGCAAGATTTTCATTGTAATTAGTTAAACCGTATAACTTTAAACTATTTTCTATTATCATGAATATGGTTATATATCTCGCTTGCGGCCGTGTATCGTTGATATCATCTCAGAATTTCGTAAGAACACACTTATCAATTCCTAATCCTTTGATTTAGTGACGAAATAACAAAACGCAACGGGTATAGCTAATCGAAATGCGATGTGCACATAAATCTTCCGTCTGAGCTCTAATAATCTTTGTGAATTTAATTGAATTAATTTCCCATGATGATAAAAGATGTGGAACAACAATGGCCGCTATGAGCCATGGTATTAACGTCCTTGACACTATTTCAGAATGACGCTTTAAATGCTATGAGTGGATATAATCCTTACACTGTTTTGATGTTAGACCAAATTTGGAAACTGAATAGCTCAATCTACGGAGACGGCTTGTAAACACCTTGTATGACATTTAATTACCACTGTTATGCATATTATGGTCCAAAAAGTAAAAACATATATTTGTTATGATTATAAAATAATAATTTAATAATTTACTTGGCCTGTTTGGGTTAATTCCTCTTTAAATATAAGCAATGACTCACAATCGAGATTTATTACGGATTTAATATGTTTGGTATTTTTAGTGGTAACTAGCCAAGAGCCAAATGTTTATATAAAAGTATTATAAACAAGATTGTAGGTACTTTTTTTGTATGGAGTATCGTGTCTAGCAAGAAGTATGGTGACCTGAGTACATTGATTTTTATGATTTTAAATAGGCCACCATCTGATTACCGAAACAGAGCGTGACTAAGGATGGGTAATGACTTTGATACGAGTCAATGACTTTCGCCTAAATTAATCATATTAAAACCGTTTTTTCGCATTTAAGAAACACATTGCCATTTACAGATAATGTTCGAATACGAGGCGAATAGTAATTATGTTTTATTGACAATAATTTATATAATAAATACTATAAATTAGAGAAACTAATTGGGTTTAGAAGTAACAATTAAATAAACTAAAGCCGGCCTTGAACTACGTTAACCAGAATCTAAAACAGTTTTGTGTATACAGATTCAACCTTCATTTATAAAAAGATTTATTTTTAAATGAATACGTTAAATGAAATGTTCAATAAAGGGTTAGATCTCGTAGCACGTGGCTACGTTGTAACGAGATCAATTCGTAGATTCTTTAATGCAGGTGAAACAGTTTTAGCAGAGATTTCGTCGCGGACGCACTCACAACGAGATACTTTTAAACTGTAATAAAAAAAATTACTTATATAGTAACCTAATATATTATATATATAATCTTTGTAAATTATTGTTAAATAATTTTACAAAATGTTACATATTGCTTTCTGTATTTTGATATCTGTAATGGTAACAGTTTTCACTGCGCCTTCGAACCCTTACGGTAAGTTTATTTTTAATTTATATTTATATAAAAAATGTATTATTAAAAATGTATTATAATTTCCATTAAAATAAATCATATGAAACAATTGACAATATTATTTTAAAAATCTTTTTATATTTCCCTTATAGGTAAACTATAGAGGTTTTGAATTATTTTAAGAAAATCTTATGAAAAATTAAAAATAAACAATTTTTATTTCATTACTATTTCCGTTAGAGACTATTTTAACTTATACTGTAAGAGCTTCTACACATTGATGATTTTGAAATATTAAAAAATCTGCGATTATTATCTCTTGTTTATCAAAGCAATTACAAAGCAAGATATTACGTTAATATAATAATTGTAAACAAAATTATAAGTTAATTCTATAGGAAATACAGATAAAATTAGGTGATTAAAATGTATTTTCTAAAAAAACAAACACCATGTTCTTATTTACAATTACGGAGGATCTCATTAACTTAAAAATGTTTAAGAATATGATTATTTATCTTTCTTAAATAATTTATATAAAGCTTATATAAATACTACTTATATAAATACTACTTCGGCATATATATACAGTTTCTATTTGAAAAGTAAAGTGTAATCACAATATACACACGAACTACAATTATTTTTATTCGCAATATAATCCAAATGTATCCAGACATCATTTACAATATTTTGTCATATAAATGCTTAGCCCCTTATAATATTTTTTGTATTTATAAGTCCACGATTTAATAGTTGCTACTCGGAGTAAACAAATCCTCCTTACTCAATTCTATCATATTTGCAAAAACAAAAATTTTGTTAGTTATGAATATTAATGTGAAGTTTCTATTTTAATAATGCAATTGAACAGAAGTGAACATATATATTTATAAAAAACCTATTAATTTTAACTAAAGAGTTTTTTTTTTAATTATGACGTTTAAAAAGGCAATAAGAGGACTCTTTTATCAAGTACCTTAATATTCACTCTCGTAAGGGCTACATTCTTGGGATTGTATTACTACGAGTACATTCGTTAATCTTCACGTCAGATAGTATTACCGTAGGTTTAGTATGGAAACTATAATTATGTAGTGTGACGGCGAAAACTTGTAGTAAGATATACGTATTACAAATTCGTTGATCAATTAATAAAGATCGATGTAATGAGAATTATTGATGGCACAGATGCTAAAACGTGTCCTATATTTTGGCAATGACTAATATGGCCGATGAATACTTTTATTTGGGTTACAAAAATTATTACTTACAGTATATTTCTTTTTCCAATTCTAGTATGCTTATGTCTGGTGTAAAGTAAACATTTGATTTTAAAACCCCAAAAAAGGATTTAAAAATGCTTTCGATACGTAAGGCGTAAGGAATACATAAAAGTGCTCTCTTTCAGAATTTTTGTAAACCTTTTGTAACTGAATCATAGTTAGCTTGCTTCGCTAGAATTATTTTAGTCCCAGTGTAATAAACGAAACTATAGGTGGACATTAACTTTTTTTTATATTTTTTCACTCTATCAAAATCCCTTTCAACGAAATTGATGTCTTTGAAATAATTATTAATCTATTTTACAGCACGAGGGCCTCAATATACTATAAGTACAGATAATGGTCACAAACATCCCTATCTCGAAGTCCGGAACGCGACATATCATGGTTTAGGACCTCGTGAAGAAGCTCGGGCCATGTGCGCCGTTAAAACTCAAGAAGTCAATGCCACAGCCAACGCGACAATTACAAGGAGGTTGCACGGTGTTGTTACATCACGTACGTATTATAATTTATATTATACAGAGATTAGAATTTTACACAATTAATGAAGGTTTCTGTTAAATCTATTATTTGTTTGAATTTATTATTTATTTCGACCACATCGAATCAAATAACGTGTCATAATTTTGCAGCGTTTATCTATGTATATTTTTATTAATGCATATAACGCTTGTACACGTTCAGATTTACTGGATTATTTCTTGTGGTTACATATGCTACAAGTAGAAGTTTCATTCATTATTAACAAACTTATTTACTGTAAAATAATCGAAAATGTATGTAGAATAGAAAATGCAATACGCTTATTTCAAATACAAAAATATATTTTAATTTGCATTCGTTACTTAGGGGAGCTACACACTGCTGTCCAGCGATTGGAAGTGATAATTTTTGGACAGATGCAGCAGTTGTGGCAGAGCCTGGACGCATTGCGATCACAACTCACAAGTAATACGAACACTAATTATCCCGATAGAAGAAGCATCTCTTTTAGGTTTAGACCGAATAGAGGTTAATTTTCTATAAACTTTTTCGAAAAAAAAAATGTCAAGTAGTTTTTAAATTTAGAACGTATTGTTTATGTTTATTGTATGAAAACAGTATTTGAATTTGCTTAAAAGAATACAATGTTTGAATATTTTTAAAAGCAGACGAGAATAGAATAAATTAGTGTATTAAAAGGTTTCACTGTTTTAAGGTAATCCTTTGTTTGTACTATACATAAATTATTTATAAGGATAAGGAAATAAAACTTAAATGATTACGTGTTATGTTTGTCAAACGTGATCGTGTTATGAATTTTTTTTTGTCCATTGAAATAATAACTAAAATAGGGAAATAAATAAAAAAAAACATAATAATGATAAATTTATTAACAATTAGTAACTTATCGGTATTTAAACAGTCGAGTTTTTACATTGTTCGTGTGATTTGTATCAATTTGTTACATAAACATACATACACGTTAATACTCAGGGGTTAATAGAAATGTATACAGCCGCGTACATATATTTTCTTATTAAATTTATCACAAGAACTATGTTAGTTACATATATAAGATGGCGCTTACACTAAGTTATTAATAAATATCAACAAATAAACATTTTTTTATTATGCTTTTTTAAATATTATTATCATCTGACCGATGTGATTAATTTACATTTTTAACAGAAAAAAATTATCAACCAAATAGATTTTATATATTTTGTTATATGGCAATGTATAAACATTTTATAATATTAATAATAAATGTAATGTGTTACAATTATTTGTTCATTACAATGGCAATTAATTCCAGTGTTGCCAGTATCAGACGTTAATTAATAATTACTTTTGTGTACCAAAATATTAACTGCTATTTTTAGTGTTGCCAGTATCGGGGATGTATGTGTATTTTTGCCAGTTATGTCGGTAACATTATGTGGCGGTGACTTGTAAGTATCTGCGTAGTTCCTCTTGCGTGTCGAATATCATGACCGGGAATGGTGATCCCGGTACATGACGCCCGGCCCATCTCACTTCAACGCGATAATCTCCTGGCTCCGTGGGGGAGAACTGAAATATTATATACAATTATATATATATCGCTGATGTTAGGTACATGTGGTATTGCAATAATATAATGTTTTATTTAGTTGTATAAAATTATTTTCATAATAAGATAGAAGTTAAATAATAAAAGAGTAACATTGATAGGCGAGTAAGTAATACGTATATGAAGAACTTATAACTTTTATATTTTTTATAACGTTAATATATTTCTTATAAATGTAAAAAATACAAGTTAGAATCGATTGGATTTATCGCCTAACATATTTCGCTATTTGTGAATTATCGATATCATTAGGAATTTTATAAATAGTTTATAAATTTTATCTTTTTATTTTCGGACAGTATGTGTAAGTTGAATGGAATGTTTCTGGATGTGTGTAAAAATCACACGTTCATACCACATTTTGGGCCTAGACAAATATTATTTATTTATAAAAGGACAACTAACAAAACATACACCATTTATAAGTTTTAAAAAATAAAGATAATTACATTTTTGCTAAGTGTTATCACGGGGTGGATTTTTTTTCTACTTAAATTGTACAAAAGGGGACATTAAAATTATACGAAATTAAAATTATACAAAAGGGGAAACAAAAAATACTACCAATACAATATAAAATGTAAATTACTAAAGATAAATAACAAATTACCAACTTATTACTAAGCAATTAAAAAAAAATAAAAATAAATAAAATGAAACTTTTTTAGATAACAAAAATTTTATAGCAAAAATAACAAACAAATAACTGTAATACAGAACCTAAACGACACAATATAAACGTGATCAATGTTGAAAGACTGGAATGTGATCCTTATTTTATTATTTTCAACTTAAAATTAATAAATACATTTATTGTTGTACGTATATACGTGTTTATGTAAATCGTGTTAGTTTCTTGTATGCTAAAGAAAGCAAACGAGTAAATGGCCTATCTGATGGAGGTAGTTACTGTCGCCCATGGACATCCACAACATAGTTTTGCGGATGCGTTGCCACCCTTTATTGAGGAAGAGGGAGAGGAAAGGGTAGGAAAAGGGCAACCAGCTCTCTCATTCATCGGACGAAAAGCAGTCATTAAAGGCTATTTCAACCAGCCCATGTTCGAGCTGTTGTAACACAGCTTGGTTCACCTTCGGCGGACCTTCAATAATACATATTATTGTTAGATAGTATATGCCGACGTAACCTATTTCACCTTGCAAAGTATAGTTCGATCCTTCTGGTTTTCTCTCTGCATCTCGACCCTGAAGGCTCCTTTGGGTCCTCTCACTCGTACTGTTAGCTGCCCGGCGCCAGCCCCGCGTGTATCGCATAAGAAACGGGATTGGAACGTCGCTAGGACCCCGGGTTCGACTCCCGGACCGTACACTCGGACCTATGAGATAAGGTTTCTTTATATTACACTAGTTTTTTTGAAATAAAAATGTATAGGGAATGTACAATGTAATGTAAGCTCTAAGACTTTCGCAAGTATTTATTTTAATGAAACTAATATTTCCGGATTACTACGCGTAGATTTGCTCATCTCGTCTGCCCGTGATCATGGTTTCTCAAAAGTAACCGAAACGTTTAGAGTGTGTAGTTTTAAAATAATAACGTGTAGTAATCCGAAAATATTAGTTTTATATTAATGTATAAATAACTGGTACGTCCTGATCCCGAGGAAACTACATAGATTTCTGTCATTTTTTATAGCTTATGTATTATTCTAGTAGTTTCTACGTAACAGTGCAACATACATCCACACATACAAACTTTCACATTTATCATATTAGTAGTATTGTAAGATAAGCAACGTATGAGTTGAAAGTCCAATTAGTATAATGTGGTCGTCTATAGAAATTTACTTAATATTTCTGTTTCAAAAGATAACTTGTGTATAATTAACTGCTTAGAATAAATGTTCAGAATATGTCGCATAGAAAGATAAATAAAGAATATATAAATAAAGAATATATGTATAAATTAAGCATTGCATATTAAAAATATACTTTCAAAACGGCTTACATTTCAGAATAGGATCATTCAGCTATAAGTTACCGACACACGCAAATGTCACATAAAAAAGACAATAACAAATTTAGGGAATCAATAATGTTAGTGACCTTTAAATTATCATTTATCAAAGGATTCAATCTAATATAAGATAAGATAAAAAAAATATAAATTCAGTAGTATTTCAATATCAATTTGTTTAATCACCTCACTATATACACACACATATATACAGGGTGACTGGTGAGTTACTATCAATATTTAAGGAGCATACTCGGTACATGATTCTCATTCGAATTATGTAAAAAAATAGGTACTTAATTTTTGACCAAATTTCCGTATAAATAAATAAAGTTTGGATACGTACTCATCCTTGCCGGCGCCAGTGTGTCGCTACTCCCCAACCCCCGCCCCGTGGCTAGCGGGCCATTAGTCGGCTATTAGTCGCGCGAGCGCCGCCGTAAGGTCCGTACGTTCGTCTTCCCGCGCGCGCGCCTAGCGATCGATCTTACGCGTATACCTAATAATAATCTGTCGTGTGTGCGTGTGACCCGTTATTACTTATTAGTAATTAAATATGGCTTTTCAATACACAAATGCAGAATACTTGGACATGGTTTATGCGTATGCGCGTGCAAATGAAAGCTTGCGGGGCGCAATCAATTTGTACCGGGAGATGTTCCCCAATCGTCGAGTACCTACGGCCAGCGTCATCTTAAACGCTAATCAAAGATTACGAGACTTCGGACAGTTCCGTGTTCCAACACATGCCCAAGGAAACGTCTTGTGTATGCTACAATGTATGTCAACAGAGAGGAGTTGAAATTAAAAATCAATAGTGCTTTCGAAACTATTAAAAGTGACCCATTCGTATTAAATCGTGTGAAAGACAATATGTGTAAACGTGCCGAACTGTGTATCACACGAGAAGGCGCTCGCTTTGAACATTTGTTAAGGTTAGTGTAGTTATGTAGGTAAATAGGTAGTTTAATGATTGACAATTGTTGTAAATAAGAATGATTCCATTTTTAAATACGCCGGAAATACCAAGATAGGTAAACAGTTCATATTATTTTTCGTGTCAAGGTCACACCATTTACCTAGTCAATAAATTGGTTGCTTAAACGAAAGAAATATCTTGGTATTTTTGCCTGTCCTAAGCCAGAATTAAAGTATGAAGGGAATTGGATCATTTTTGTTTATCTAAGGTCTAACACGCGGCGGCGCGCGGCGTTTGGATGTAGGTAAACTACCGCGCGATAACTACATATACCTACGTACATAACTGTTTTGTGTCGATAACGCAGCTAGGGTATCCACGCGATCCGTAATTAATTACATAACTTTTGGTTAACTTTACTTAGAAGTTTATTAATATTTATGTTATATTAATTTTTATTTTGTCATATATGATCGTCAACTACCACGTCCTTAAATATTGATAGTAACTCACCAGTCACCCTGTATACACACACATATATAGTATTGTATATATTAGTCAGTGGTGGCCTAGTGGTTAAAAGGCCCGCCTCTCATGAGGGCGCGGGCTCGATCCTGGCTCGGGCAAGTACCAATGTGATTTTTCCGAGTCATATGTACTTTCTAAGAGTATTTACACACCACTGATTAATGCATTCCCAAAGAGGGTTGATGTCAGGCAGGTGGGCGGTCGTAAAAACAATTAGCCAAAACTATTCACAACATTTAAGGCAGACCCTGGCTAAAGCTAGGAAATTGCCAGGTAGAAGAAGATATACAGGGTGACTGGTGAATTACTATCGATATTTGAGGACGTGATATTTGACGATCATATATGACAAAATAAAAATTAATAAAACATAAATATTAATAAACTTCTAAGTAAAGTTAACCAAAAGTTATGTAATTAATTACGCATCATATGAACACCCTACAGATTAGGTATACACACACACTCACACACGCGTGCTGATACAACACTACGCC